ACAAAAGTAGACAAAGTCTGCTTGTGGTTTGCAAGGGAAATGGATTGAATTCCCTGTTCCTGAAACTGAACTTGAGCACTGTACATCCAAAGATAGCTCCTCAAAGATACTTGCAAAATTGAATGCTACTGTCCCAGGGAAGAATAGGTATGGTTTGATGGCACTAAAGTCTAACTTTTTAGCAGTGACAATATGGTTTGTTGGGTTCCATTTCCTCCAAATCACCCAGGACCTCAAGTCCCTTGAGTCTTTACTTTCATCTGCTTTCATTCTCCTCCTGATTCTCATTTCTTCCTGAGGTGAACAACTCCCTGCAGGTCTGGTCTCTCCTCTCAGAGAGAGGGAGAGGGAAGGAATGGAAGACAGTCTTCTTCAGCAAAGAAAAATTCCACTAGCTCAGTTGCACTCATGTTTGTATCCTTAATCTCTCACTGTCACAGGTGATTTTTCCACTCAGTAGTTTTTCTCCAGGCATTTTTTTCATAAGTCTAACATTGGCTTCATAAAGTTTGGATATTTTGGAAGGCTTTCTATTAAAGGAAAGTCTGTTTTCAAATTTCAAAGTAATTTAAGTCAGTTAATTTTAATGTGCAAACCTTAATTTTTAATGTGCAAATGTGAGGACTTTTAATATAACCTAAGCTGTTATCCTAGCTGAACATCTTAGTGCTCCAAAATTAAAAGCTTTACAGCTTTTCCATTATTCAAATATTTCCATTATACAATAACAGTTGGCATAGATCCATCAATGAACTACAGCAAAGAAATTTGTTCAGATCTCTGCCTCACGTGAACCTTCACAGCTGGCAAAATCAAATTTTGAGAGTCACATATAACAGTAAGTTGACATAGCTTCATCAGTGTTGATGAGAGAATAGTAATATAAACCTTTTCTAAAATAACTGCAGCTGTGTTCATGGAAAGATGAGACAGGGTAGCATTGGAGACTGAGACCTCTTAAAATTACAGACAGCATGCAAAAAGAGAACACTTAATCTACAAACCTTTTATTAATTTGCTCAAGATAGATTTTAAAGACTTACATTTTTTTCTAGCTTGAGTTAATGGGCTTAATATAAAAGGTCACAGGTCATAATATGGGGGTTTAAATCCCATGAGTTTACAAATGTATGCTGAGGGAGAGTGCTTAGGTCTCTGCATGTGCATGTCCATGGGAGTAAAGTTGCCTTGCTGCATTCATATACACACAAAACATTTCTCATTGGTCTCTCCATGCTTCTTTTGCAATGACTGTGAAAGTTATGTCCTCAGATTGCTGACATGGTGTAGCTCCACTAAATGTACTTTTCAAGTGATTGGTATTTGAACCATCAACACATAAGAAATCATACACAGTCGTGAGACACTGAAATGGTTAATGGCTTAAACATTGTTAAAAATCACTGAAGGACTTTTGTCCTCTGTAGCAAACTGTAGAAAACCTTAACAGCTCCAGTGCAGGGGGAGCACACACCCACCACCTCAGGCTGCAAGATGGGTCAGATAAGGAAAGAGGCAAATCGTGCAAGGTGGGGTAGTAGTTTCTTTGCCCTTACACAAATGACTCCACCATGATAAACCCTCTCCCCGCCCTCCCGTCTCCCCCCCTTCCCCTGCCCCGGGAAAGCATCCAGACAATTCACACATAGTCTGAAGATATTCATCTCCACTGACGGGCCATAATGTATGCAGATGTAACATCTTCGAGAGTGTCAAAGACTCATGCAATGTCACTTGGTCCAATATTATATCTTCCGTTGTAAACCTTCCTTCCCCAGGGGAGGTACCAGGGGCGTTCCACCTATCCTAAGCCTAATAAAAACCACACTTGGACTTCTTTATGGAAAGGATGGACTTCCCTCCCTTACATGAACTTCCATCACCACCTGATCATAACAACAGTGTGAAAAGCATTCATTGTTGACGTCTCAGAAGACACAATCTGTGTCATGTATTTCTAGATTTAATTATTGTTTGCTATTTTTTGCAAACAAACTTTAATGCGTATGAAGAGTTGGAAAAGGTCTTCCTTACTATTACTCTTTGATCAATCAGCCTCCTCCAGTAATTTTCTTCTGATTAAAAGTTTTGGTTAAAGACATTTATATGAAAAAAATAAATGAACGGTCTGTTCATAAATAAAAATGTAAACCATAATTTTCTTATACTGATAGTTCCATCACAACTCTAAAGTACTCAGCTCCATACTACAATTAAATTCTTAGCATCTTAGCTAAGGATATCATTTTCACAGCACATTAATACTAGAGAAATAATGCTAGAGAATTATTTTAACATTATAACATATGCATATATCTAAATAAAAGCAGAGAATTGTACATTTTTGGAAGTAAAAGACTGAAAATGATTACACATGATAAAAGACCCCTTCAAATTGGGAGTCTCAACATGAAGGGTGAAAGCTGTCAAATGGAATTATACCCAAACTTTTTAACTGCTCTATTGCTGTGATTTTTTTTCAGAGAATTTATGATATCAATTAAATTGTAGAAACCCTTTACATTGTGGTCTGCCATCCACTACTGTCCATGACATAGCTGCCCACAAATAGATGTATTTGTAAAATATCCCTATAAAAATGTGAATTGGTCTCCCATACCTGGATCAAGTTTGCAGTATTTCTGCCTTTGATTACATGGACTTTTCACTAATTGTAACCTCTTAATTATCATTTTCACTAATTTTAACCTGCTGAAACTATAGGACATCAACAGCACTGCGAGCAGCTGAAAATGCTAGACTATTTTTTCCTTAAATTATTAAGTTTCAGGCAAATTAGAGGCACGCTGTTGTCTTTATTTTCTGGAAGCTGAAGCGCACAGATGTTTCATTTTCATGACATTTAGCATCTAATAACCTCACTGTCATTGGTACTAATTTTCTAAATGTCTTTTCTGCTTTTGTTTTGAAAATGAATACATGAAAAAAAATGCTTTGGTACTTTAGTTTCCTCTTCCACTTTTTGGGGAAGCTTCCAAAATGATTAGCTAAATGATCAATCAGTTAAAGAAAAAATAGATTCAGGGTTGGATCCAAAAGTCCCTATAGTCTATAGGATTCTGTTAACTTCAATTACTTGTGCCCAGAGATGAAAATTAGTTGGCAAGGCGCTAATGGGAAAAAACCACTTGACAATAAACTAAAGAGCAGGAAGATTTGCATGATTTAATATAAATGGTAAAGGTCTTAAAATCTTATAAAAAATGGGTATTTTAATTAGTTTTTATCTTCAACTTCTTTTTTCCACATTTTTTTTTGGTAAATTTAAAAGATTATTTTAATTTAAAATTTAAAAGATTAATTTATTTCTTGCAACACTTCAACTTCCTTGTTCTAGTTTACTGATTTATCTCTCAGAGAACACGTCATTCTAACTGAAATGTAGGTATGTACTATACTTATGTATACACACACATATACCCATATGTATATGACAGAGAACACCATTGACTTTCACACTCAAAATCATCAAGCAGCAATGATTTATTAATATTTTCTCAAGCCAGATTTATACCCACTCACATGAAGTTCGAGACAAGAGAGACTCAGTTGTTTTGAGAAAGGCTGGCTATATCACTTTGTCAGGAAGATACGGTACTGAGAGAGGTGCGTGGAAGGTTCTCACTAAGCTGTCTTCGTGTTGCCATTTCTCCACTGCAATGCTACTGCTAAGCCCTAATTTAACAGCATGGTAGTCAAGACTTCTCCTTTGCATTGTTTCTTTTCTGAAGGAAAGAAATAAAGCGCAGAAGGTAGGTTGCACAATAAACGTGTGTTTATATCTTTGTCATTCAGCTGGAAAGTGTGCTGGAGTATTAATGTCAGCAGCTTTATTTTCCAATTTATTTGGCAGGTTCAAAACCAAGAAGACTTTTCTTTTGTAATACCCCTTTGCAGAATAAAAAAAACACTAGGTGAATAAAGTGTTTCTGTTTACCATTTACCATAATTACAATTTATCAGTTTGGTGATTCAGTTTCAAAGAACATTTGCTTTTTCTGCTAGCTGGAGCTTAGCATGGGGTACATAGGAGAACAAATGAAATTCTGAGCAAAATTTAGGACAAAAAAATGATAAAACTGTAGAATTATAAAAGCAAATATCACACTTAACAGGAAGAAGCTGCTCATTACCTCTGCTAGTACCTAAATTTAGTGACTTGCTGGTTCTGCTACTATTCCTAGTATGATTTCCTACTGGTGACTGAGACAAAATCCAAATGTTTAGGACACGGGCATGCTTATTACCATTAGATATTGTGGGAGAAAATTAAAAGAAGATAGTTAAGAGAAAGTAAAGAAAATCTGGGAAAAAGTTTGCCTGTTGGCAGAGTATCCTTTAGAATCATAGAATGGTTTGGAAGAGACCTTAAAGATAATCTAGATCATATCCTCCTGCTATATGCAGAGTCATCTTCCACTAGACCAGGTTGGTCAGAGCCCCATCCAACCTGGTCTTGAACACCTCCAGGGATGGGGAGTCCACAACCTCTCTGGGCAACCTGTTCCAGAGCCTCACAACCCTCACAGTAAAAAATTTCTCTCTGATATCTAAACTAAACCTAACCTCCTTCAGCTTAAAGTCATTCCCCCTTGTCCTGTCACTACACACTGTTGTGAAAACTCCCTCTTTAGCTCTCGTGCAGGCCTCCTTCAGGTACTGGAAGACTGTTATTAGGTACCCCCGAAGCCTTCTCTTCTCCAGGCTGAACAACCCCATGTCTCTAATCCTGTCTTTATAGGAGATGTGTTCCAGCCCCGTGGTCAACTTACTGCTTCCCCTCTGGACCTGCTCCAACATGCCAACATCCTTCTTGTGTTGGGGGCCCCAGAGATGGATGCAGTATTCCAACTGGGGTCTTACCAGAGCAGAGTAGAGGGAGAGAATCACCTCCCTCAACCTGCTAGTCATGCTGCTTTTGATGCAGCCCAGGATACAACTATCCTCCTGAGCTGCAAGCACACATTGCCAAGTCATACTGGGTTTTCTGTCCACTAGCAGCTCCAAGTCCTTCTCCCCAGGACTAGTCCCACTCCATTCTCTGCCCAGCCTGTACTTATCCTTGGGATTGCCCCAACCCAGGTGCAGGACATAGCACTTGGCCTCGTCAAACTTCACAAGGATCACCTGTGCCCACCTCTCAAGCCTGCCAAGGTCCCTCTGGGTGTTACTCCTTCCCTCCAGCATGTTAACCGTACCACACACCTTGGTGTCATCAGTGAACTTACTGAGGGTGCACTCAAGCCCACCACCGTCCATGTGACCAACAAAGATGGTAAACAGTGCCAGTTCCATTACCAGTTCCTGAGGAACATAACTAGTCACTGCTTTCCACTCGGACATTGAGCTGCTGACGGCAACACTTTGAGTGTGACCCTCCAGCCAATTCCTTATCCACCCAGTGGCCCACCTGTCAAATCCATGTCTCTCCAGTTTAGAGACAAGGATGTCATGTGGGACAGTGACTTTAAACAAGTCCAGGTAGGTGAGACCTCTTGCTCTTTCCTCATTTGCCATTGCTGTAACCATACTGTAGATGGCCAATGAATTTGTCAGGCTTGATTTGACTTTAGTGATGCCATGTTGGCTGTTAACAATCACCTCATTATTTTCCATGTGCCTTAGCATAGTTTCCAGGGGTAGCTGCTCCATGATCTTGCCAGACACTGAGGTGAGACTGACTGACCTGTAGTTCCCTGGTTCTTCCTTATTTCCCTTTTTAAAAATGGGTATGTTTCCCCTTTTCCAGTCAATGGGAACTCCACCAGATTGCCATGACTTCTCAAATATGATAGATAGTGGCTTAACCACTTCTTTGGCCAGTTCTTTCAGGACCCAGGGATGTATCTTGTCAGGTCCCATGGACTGGTGCACCTTCAGGTTCCTTAAATGGTTTTGAACTCGGTCTTCTCCTACAGTGAGTGGAGAAAAAAAATGGGACCACTTAGGTTTTTCTTAACATAGAACAAGAATCAAGTCAAAGGGAACACAGGGGTCGGTATGGTCATTTGAGCAAGAACATATTTTTCCCTTTGAGAATAAACAACTCACTGAAAGAAAAAGGGTTAACGTTTTAAATGTATTTTATCTAGTGAGTATTGGTAAAAGAGATACATAATAAAAGTGGTATCTGGAAAGTACATTTTTTGCCATACCTTTCCAAAGGTAGCATTACTGAATAAATTGAATTGCTGGGCTTTTGGACCAGGCAAAGTAAAATGCATTCTAAAAATTTTACTAATTTCTATCATAATAAATATCATCATAAAAGACAAGACTGGAAACTGAAGAAAACTCCTGATTTACAACATTAACTATTCCAATCCTTGTGATGTGAGGTCTTCAGAACAGATTGTTGTATAGAGTATGTATCACAAACAATGTACATATACAGAAACCCATAAACCAAGAGAAAACCTGAAAAATGTAATGTTATTTCATGGTTAAATTGAATGGCTAAGAATTCTGCATTGAGAAGTACACTCTGTTTTGCCTACAGGTGGATAATATGACCTCCTAAGTATTTGGGTAATTGGAAATTTCTGGAGAACTTCACTAAGTATAAATAGTTGGTTTACAAGCTAGAGATCTAGTTACCTTTTCAGGTGTGTAAATAATACATGCTTCATATTTCCAGTTACCTTTGTGTTTCTTCCTTCTGAAGAACTAAAAGGTGGCAGATATATCACCTTCTTAAAGATGAATTTTTAGCAAATTTTTCTTCTTTTATGTATGATTCCTGCCTAGGAACCCTCCTAAGACATTTGATATTTCCTCTTATTTTGTCAAATAGCAGCCCCTCACACCTTCACTTTCACCAGTACTACTCATGTAAGACTTTTGCTTTTGTTCTTGGCTTCTAAAGTCTTCAATCCCTGGAAAGAAGTGCTGCTAATGGTATGTAACTGAAGGCTGTTGCCTGTCTTAAGCTCAAAACAGCTTAAACAACCAGTGTTCTTCCTAAGGCAGTAAGTCACTCATTTCTTACTACACTGAGTGGTGGAAGAAAAGTATTAAGATAGGAAAGTCTTTCAGCTACTCTCCTGAGTGCCTATATCCTAGCAGATAAAGACATCCCTCTGCAACCATGCTTACTGCACCTCTATTATGTTGTCTTAAAGCCACTTGCCATACAATTTTGTCATAGAGAATTTGGCATCTAAACTAGATTATACTAAGTAATAAATGGCTGTGTATAAAAAATATAGCAGTAGCTCTAGAGTTGGGGGGTCAGTGGGATAAATCTTTGCAGTAATGTTAGGTATGTTCTGTCTTGTGTTCTAAGAGGAGACCCTAAATGTGGAACAAATAGCAGTTTGTTGACATTTAGTAAGAGTGTATGGATCTGTGTAACACGCAGTTATGATGGTTAACAACTGAACTCCCACCCACATGCTCGCTCGCTTATTCCCTAAGGGAGAGAAAATAGGAAGAAAAGGAATGAGAAAGCTTGTGGGTCGAGCTAAAGACTAGCAGACTGGTTACTAATTGTTGTGGTGGACAAAGAGGACTCAGGGAAAATTAGGTCATAAAAAAGTACTTGCTGATTTGGATAGTGGGAAACAGAAAGACAAACATTAAATCAAGGCCTCTCCCTTCCCCTTTCTCAAGATCAGTGTCACTCCTTCACACTAATCTACAGCAGTATTGTTGTTACAAGGTGGTTCCTCTCCACTGCTCTGTCCTTCTCACACTTTTAGCATGCTCCAGCAGGGGTGCTCCACAGGCTGCAGGCGGATCTCTGCCCTGGTGTAGAGCAGCTCCTCTTCCTCCTCATCTTCTGACCTTGGTGCTTCATCTGCTCCTTCCTCTTTTTGTTCTGTCCTCCTCTCTTTGTGACATTTCCAAAGCTTCCTTACAAATACTTTTCTCAAGGTACCGCCATCATGGCTGCAGAGCTCCTCTGTGCCCTGAAGGGAGTGCATTGGAGCTGACTGGAACCAGCCAACTCCAACCCAAGGCAGCCCCAGCTGCTCCTCACAGGGGCTGCCCTGCAGCCCTGACCAGCACCTGGGCACCTGCACTCTGTACGCTGGCACAGTTAATCAGTAGAGAAGTTTTTTATACAAACACTCTGACCACCCCTCAGTAACTGGCACAATATAAATGAGCCACTGAGAAAAGGTCCCATTTGCAGAAAGGTCTTAAAATGGACAAAATTGGACTCCAGCTGTGCCATGTGTAGAAGTGTGAAACGCTGAAGGGGGACTGAGGACTGCAGATGGGGTCTGAGGACTGCACCAGTGAAAGTAGATAGCTCTGGGGTAGACAGCAGTACAAAACTGATCTCACTGGACTTGCTGGAAATTTACTCATTGCCCCATTTACTGAAACGTGGTCAGAAAGTCTGTGTAAGAGGCTTCTTTAGTGATTAACTCTGCCAGTCTATGGTGTGCAGGTGTCCAGTTCCTGTTGACTTCAGTAGGATTTTGGCATCTCAGAGAAAGGTGTGCAGACAAAATGCCAACAGACAGACCTTGCACTTGGGATGGTTCACCAAACTCCACAGGGTAAAGGACTCTTGAGCCCCAGTGCAGAGCTGTGCAATTGCAGTTGTATGGTCTTCAGGTTGGAGTCTCGTTCCCACGCTATCTCATCTGTTTTAGCAATTGCTGATAAAGGCAAACCATACCTCCTGAGGGGTGTGAGAGGGGAAGAATCTCACAATTTTTTGCTCTCTCAGCTTCTTGATGGTAATTTTCTGAGTTGTCTGAACTACAGACTAGTCACTGGAGATCAAAGCTTTGTCTGTATTGGTTGTACAGTTGTATTTTAAATAATCACTTTGATGAACATATGTGATTTAGTACAGATGAAATCCTACCTTGAATTACTGCAGCAGCAATTTAGCTTTCTCTGTGTCAGATTGTAATTTACAAAGTGTGCAAAAAAGCTAGCCAAGTATTGCTAAAAGCTCATTAGGAAAAAATGCAATGAATGAATGAATAATTTTTTCCAGCCTAATTGCATCTTTATAATCAAATTTTTTTAAACTTACACATGTAAACCCTTGTCCTCCACTTTTGAATTCACAGAACAACATATCACAGCCACTGAAACAAGGTTTATATTTTTTATTTTCCAAAATGTATAACAATCAGCATATGATTTTGCAATACTTCAGGCTAATTTGAGTAAAAACATGCAAATCAAGTAAATTTTTAAAAACTTTCCAGGTGAATTTAAAGAGAATAATGCTTCCCACTTTGAGAGTAGGCCCATTTCTCCAGTTTTTTGAGGCAGTGACTAAGATTTGGAAACAACAATAAATGACTGATTTTATATCCCTTATTCAATTATAATAATTGTTTATATTTCCAAAGCTTTCAGATAGCTAATTGAAACATTATGGAAATGAGACCCAGAATAAATTCTTGTCATCTCCCATCTTGGATAGGAAGAAAGGATTAAGGCTAACTATAATGAGAAAAAATTATTTTGCCGAAAGAAACTGAAAAAAATAAAGGCTTATAGTATATTAAAATTTTGTACTGATTATTTGCATTAGATAAAATCTTGACTTAACTGACTTTTCAGAAAGTTATAATGTTAATTTTAAGACAGCTTTCACAGTAAAAACCTAGGGCAATAATATCCATGATAATATATACAAAATCACAAATTGGGAAGGACAAAGTAACTGGAAATATAAAAAGCAACATTGAAAGAAAACTAAAGATTATCATGTGTTCTGTTGGTAGCACTACATCCAGAGAAGATTTCACAAAGGGCTGTGGGGGCATTCACCATGAACACTTGTCTGCAGTGTGTTCCTACACGGGAGGAGCTACTCCTAGCTGCTCCTACCTCTTTCTGCACACCACTGCCTAAACTGCTTGTGGCAATGACAGTTTTTGCAGCACAGGACCTGTGCAATATCAGAGTGCACTAAGACCAAGAACCCAGTTCATGTAAGGCCATGACCAGTAGCCACAGAGTACCAACCTGACCCAGCAGTGTAACAGCAAAGCTTTCTGAGCTGCACTAATCTGTCAAAGAATCAGTTGCCCAAAACTCATGTGAGTCAATTATTTGATGAAGATGAGAAATGGATGGGCAGGGAAAGGAGATGAGGGAAAGGGTTAATGTTATCTTCAACTATACTAAAACTAAAAAAGTTGTATATAGTTTTTGGTGTGTTCAGACTCCACAAGGAGTCAAGTTGTACAAAGAAAATCATGCTGCTTCACCAAGAAACTATATAACTAAGATAACTGCTGCATATATCCTAGATTAAATGCAAAAATACAGTAAAGAAATACAAGCAAATAGCAGCTTGCAAAAATGCATGATTATTTACATTGCCAGCCACAGATAGGTGAGATGCCAGTTTTCAGTCATGTGCCTTTTACATGGATCAAATGCCATCTTGTCTCTTTCTTAAGGCAACAAATTCATTATTTCTACAGAAAAGCACAAAAGAAGGTTGAGAACTGGTGTGTCTTTCAGTTCTGTAACTTATCTACAGTATTGTGCTATAAGGAAGCCCTTTCATTTCATCTAGTAAAATAAGCTACTTGGATTATTTCAGGTGTTCCTGTTTCCGTTTTCTGATTGTTTGTCTGTTTTGGTTTTGGTTTGGCTTTTTTGTTGTTATTTTTTGTTCACTGATCTAAGATAGTATCAATTTGCATGCTTACCTATAGGAAATTTGGGTTGCCTTAGTTTCATGAATTGCATCTCACATCCCAGCTTTTCATTTGACTTATGCTAACAGCCAGTGGTTGGCTGGTATATTCTCCATTTACAACATTTTCACTGCAAGTCAATCTGATTTAGCCACAGAAGAAAACTTAAAGGTGCTATAACTATTTCATTAGTTTCTGGGTTTCCTAAACTTTGCCTTGTGGTTTCACTTTCTCTTCTCACTTTGGGCTTTAAAAGGAGACGAGTTTGTATTTCACCAACAGGC